CCCGTGCAGATTCTTTATCAAGGCCTGATTCTTTCAGAAATCCACCATCTAGTACAAACGCCATCAATGTCCCCATACTCGAGTTGAAGCCCCTCGAGGTATTCTTCAAGTTATTTGCTTTTTTGATGCTTCACCATTACCTGGCTGTGAATTTTGGTGCTAATTTGCGCTCAACATATATTACTACTGTAGCTTCTTGATGGCTTATTCAAGGGCTGTCAACGTCATGGCGAAATCATGGTATCTCAAGGAGTAATTACACAAAAAGACATTGAAGATGCCAAATCTAGTAAAGACAGTGGTCAAGTCATTAGCATTGGTTTGCCTGCCTATTGCATCCTTCAGACCCTTATACATTCTGCTAAAGCCAACAGTGCTGGTATTTTGTTAAGTAAGTCAAATAAGCAACTTTGACCATTTAGTTAAAAATTGGGATTATAAAAAGAGACTGATCATGTAAACCTTCATTTATTGCAGATGATGACACCACTGAAATAACTAGCACAAACAGGCCTAGAGATACCTTCGCGGAGTGGTTTTTCAATCCACTCTTGATCATCAAAGACCAGATCAAAGCCGGAAATCTTTCTGACAGCGACGAGGAGTACCTTGGCAAATTGGTTTTGTTGAGTGGTGATCCAGAGAGGTTGAGGGACCTAAATATTGGATCACCACCTGAATCTGAACTGAGGCGAGCTGAGTTTGAGGCGTTAGCTCGAAGGTGATAAACCTTGTTTTCCCATGTTTTTACCACTCACTTATGGCATTCTGATTTTTGTATTAACTCCTCCTGAATTTTCATTAAGGCTACGAGGCATCACCAAATCTATATCAAGATTTCCAACATTCAAGCGCCGCTTTGAGAGTAGCATCAAGGTTATCTTAGAAGAACTGGCCAAGAAGAATGGTGATAGTAGAAAATCAGAAGATGCTGGAAGAACTCCCAGGTCAAAAAGCATGTTTGTTCGTATGTTTAGCGAGAAATCTTTCAAGAATAGAAATGGCAAGAGTGATCAAGAGGCTCAACTGGTAGATACTGATAGAGATGTTGAAATTCAATGATAAGATCCGCATGAATTCTATCCACTAGCATGCTTTGCTTAATCTGTCTGTGCACTTTCAGTCAACAGGTTTAGATTGAAGACTATTTTGAAAGCTTTTATTAGTTCTTCCTGCTAGTAATGAATTTTATATTTCTTGGACAAAGTTTATGAATATGTGCATCAGTTCATCAAATATTTCCTCTGAACTTAGATAAAACTCTCTTTTCCCCTTCTGTTTATATGGTAAACAAGGCTGAGAATGTACAATTGTAACAATTTAGCCAATGTTTTGAAAACAGTACTCATAGAAGACCTCACCCAATATTCAAATGATCTGATAAATCACAGGAGTAATATTTTGATCTAGTTATGGTAAAATTAAAATTAGCAAAAAGGACGCTGAAATAAACACCATACAGAAAATTCATTCTGCAACATCAAACTCAAAGAATAAATACAAACAGTATCTTAAGAGTTGGAATTTCTTTTAGAACGCTCTTGATTCGATCAGCCTACAACTAAAATTGCAAAAATAACACTAGGCCTTGTTTAATGAGTAAGAACAGAATCAAGCTTCTAGTTGCATTACAGTAACTAGCATTACCCAATTGGAAATAGAGACGGAAATTAATTGTCTACTAATCAAACTTTTAAGATATGGAATGAGGTAAAGCAGATGCTTTCTATTCTTTCTTCCTGGAATCCTTCAGCTGCCCTCTCCTTCGAATTCCAATGCAGAAGTTCAGACGCCAAGCATCAACCATCGACTCTGGCAATGAACATAGAACACCCCACAGAAGAGAATGGGGCCAGTAAGGTGTGCACCTTGGCTCATGACCAATCCATCGCAGGGCAGCCCGAGCATAACCATCAGTCGAGGGAACAAAAAATGAAGATCTTTTGATCGACGCCATTTTTGTTGCCACATATAACGGCACCTATAATTTGGAAAACCACGAATCATGTCGCATCAGTGGAAAGTTAAAAAAAAAGAAAGTAACGGAGGATGTCAGGATGTCCTCCTACTTTATCAAGACCTTATTCAATATATGAAGTTGAACTAGACGCCAACAGACAAATTCATTCACTACAAAAATCACACTCCAAATGTTTAATTATAAAGAGGAAAGTTGAAAAAGTAAAATTTTAATTTATACATATCAACATAACAACTCTTCAGAAATTCAACCCCCAAAACACTTCTATATTAGTTAGCCTCACATGTTTGACCATAACAAACAACTAGCCATAGTGAATTACTGAACTCTACCAACAAACATCCAATAGAGTGCCAATTTTAAGACTTTATACCAGACTATTTATATGCTCCTAAAATGTGTTCCGTCTTGTAGAATAAATATACAAACAAGCAAAAGACAGAAGAATCCAGGGCAATAGGGCATACGACAGTAGGGAATATCAGATGGGACTTGTACGCCAGCATAAAAAGAATATGATTACAACTTTCAAAATTGACAAGAAAAATGGGATCAAAAAGCCAGTATCTAAATGATCACCACATGAGGCATTTAGAGAACTTATAAATAACCAGTAAAGCCAAGGGTTAACATATACCTGGCATTGCACATCAATCCCACTCTTCTTGTACTCTACATAGAGGCATCTGGAGAACTGGTCAATGTATCTGAAATATAGATCCAAAAAGTTCAATGCAATACTAAAGAATATAAGGGAATAGCTACTATTTCATGCTTAAAATACAAGTCGTCCTAGAAGTCTAAAACATTGTCATTATTCAAAACACGAAACTAATGGTAATGTAAAACTATCACCAGTTCCTCAAATTAGCTTTAAGGCATTTCACCTGATGATATATTTATGAATCTACACCCAGGAACAGGTTGATCTCTTTTTTTTTTATATAGAGGATATCAAGATTCTCATGTCATCCAATCCCTGAGATGAGGACGTTTCGATTAGCAATCAGATCTCCACTCAAATTCGGTGTTTGGAAATCCATCCGTTTGCACAAAAATGTTAAGTTTACATGTGTACTTTAGGAATATCAGCATATAGTTTACGTGTAAGATTTTCTAGTAGGCTTCAATGTCTTATCAACTTATGAATTATCTATTAAGTTGGTGCAATCATTTGCTATCAGCCAATCCAAAAAGAAACAACAAACCAAATTCGTATAAATTATAGAAAGAAAATGCAGATAGTAGAGAGTGTTCAGCTTACGCTTTAGTTGCGGCATAAACAGCATACAGAGGATCAGAGGGGATAACAATAGCCGCACCAGAACCAATATTAACAATTGCTCCTCTTTTCCTCTGAATCATACCAGGCAAAACAGCTTGAGTAACCTTTGTAGTCCCTTCCACATTAACTTTAATCAAATCTGCCAACAGCTTATCATCCACTTCATGGAAAAATCTAGCATAAGGATACGAAACCCCAACATTATTAATCAAAACCCCAATATCCAATCCTTCAATTGTCTCCTTAATCTTCTTAACCCCTTCATCCAAATCACCAGAGAAATCAACGACGACTGTTTTGATCTGGGTCTGTCCATATTTAGCTTTAATCGATTCAGAAACATCCTTAAGTTTATCAGGGTTACGACCCACAAGAACTAGATTAAGCCCTTTTCGAGCTAATTCAAAAGCAAAGCCCTTCCCAATACCATCTGTAGGTCCAGTAACAAGTGCCCATGACCCATATTTCTTAAGATTCTTAGCAGGTCTGAGGAAATTGACATAGACCCATTTGAGAAAGATGACTGAAAAGCACAAGACTTTCAAGAAACCTAAAGAAAGAAGCAAAAGAAGCCATACAGGCTGGGATTTGAGCTGATGGTAGATGCAAGACTCCATGTTTGAGTGGCAGAAACAAGAGAACACGATAATTTTATATATAAATAAAGAAGCGTATAGATCTAAAGATTGAATCTTGGAGTGTTACACGCGATGGGTTTGGAGCAGTCTATTAATTCACTTGTATGGGCACAGCACAGCTGGGAGAATGGACTATTATTGGTTAGGCAGCTGCTGTTGGGTATTTAATAGGGTGCCTAAATAGCAATATTAATTTTTCAAATTAATGCTGAGATTTACATTGGTTAGTTGAAGTTCGTTGAACAAAATTTAGTGTGCTATCGACTTAGGTGATCCATCCTGGAAAACCACATATAACCTCCAAAATTTATTAGTAACAATCATTGGTTGGACATATAATGTATGTGCCTAATCAGTTACTTCTTTTTATAATGTTTTAAATTATTAAATTTATAATATTTTTATGTTAAGAGTTCATCAAATTTTGATACACCGTAAATAATTTGCTTAGACAGACACCGGAGGGTTGAGGTTGTTATAATTAGTTTATAACTTCTGGAACTTACAAGTAGACCTCAATAGTTTTTAATAACAAGTTTGGTTATCTACATATCCACCCCAAATCTAATTTCTTTTTTTATTCCAGTCCATTCTTCTCTTTGGAGTTATCAATGAAAATGTTTCTTAGTTCTGAATACTTTATAATGAAGTCAATTGACTAATTATATAACTATATACTTTTTTTTTTTTTAACTCCGGATAACCTGCGGTTGCTATAGCCTCTACTCTTCGGGTGAACACTCTGTGGTAAGTGTTTTGTTTGCACTGAGTAAACTCCTCACTGTGTAGTAGCCTGCAAATCACGAAGCTAATTTTTTTTATTGCACCTTTTGTTCAATTTTCATGCTCCATTATTTACCTTTATACTTATTCTATTTTTTTTACTGTATTACTAATTAATTTTTACAATATACAAATAGTTTACAATTTTCATCTTAGTTCTTCGGTTACAATTATGAATGAAATTTGCGATGGAGCACAAATATGCAAATTATAATCATAACATACAAATATAATTTTTATATTAGATATGTGTGAAAGTTGCTCTTAAAAAAATAGACTTTTTATTGGAAAGTTGAAAATAGGTAGCAAATGGTTAAATTAGGTCAAATTAATCATTAATAAATATCTTTAAAAAACAGAATTGAGATTATAATGGATAAAGTAGTACTTATTTGAAAGAGATAATTTGCGATGGTCGCTCTATTTAATTGATTTTTCAATATTTTAAAAACGATATAATTGTAAAAAGCAAGGCAACCACGTTCTCCATTTTCCCTCCCACACGGCCCACGTTAATTGTTATGTGCACGTATTCTTCTATTAATAACTGTTCCCCTATACGTAAAACTGTTACTTGTAGATTTCTGTTTCTCATTATCTTCCCAAACTTTACTTTAATTCATCTATATCATGGCTTTGACGTGTTTTGGTAACGTGTTGTTCATCTCAATTATAGTTATTATTACGTCTTCTCTTGAATTAGTGAATGCCTCATCCATGGAATTCCAAGTTGGTGATACTACTGGTTGGACAGTTCCTCCCCAAAATGACACAATTTTTTACAACAACTGGGCTTCCGCTATGAGGTTCAAAATTGGCGACACTATCCGTAAGCATAAGCATATATATATGTATTACTAGCTAGTTTTTGTTAGGAAGTCATGTTTAATTTGGTGATGGATTTAGGTTTCAAGTACAAGAAGGATTCAGTGATGGAGGTGACGGATAAAGATTACAAGAAATGCAACTCAACACAGCCTCATTTCTTTTCCAACAGTGGGAACACCATGTTCACGTTGGAGCATTCTGGCTATTATTATTTCATAAGTGGAGCAGCAGGACACTGTGAGCGAGGACAACGAATGATACTAAGGGTTATGGTCCAGGATCTCATACCTACTGCTTCTCATGCTCCATTCTCATTCCCAATCTTTCAACAACTTCAACTTCTCTTCTTTCTTTTCCTTTCACTTGTTTTATTTTAACTTCTTACTGCGACGTTGTTTTTCTTCTGCATTGGCATACTTTGTTTATTTTTAATCTTCTATGCGTTTCAATTTATTTATCACATTTTCCCCCCTTTAGCACGTTTCTGTGACAACGCATCCCATACAGGCTTACTGGATGTATGCAAAAGGTCTTTCCTTTAAAAAAAATTGTGTTCAATCAAACACCATTGAGAGTTATTGTTTTAACGATAATTGCATCACCTCAGAAAGATAAAATTGCTAAGTTATCACTGTTGTTGAATGTGGCAAATAACTTCTACTTATACACAATGCACTATTGTTGAATGTAACAAATATCTTCAACTTATAAACACGTAGAACTATAAGTAACCAGGAACTCAAGATCAATAAATCAATAATGAAATGGAGTACAAGACAGGGGAATGGACAATTGATGGGGTCTCATGAGGTTAAAGGAGCGTACATTTTTCGTCTATAGCTGAAATTCTAAACTATGGAGTGCAGTATTGGAGCCAGGACGAATCACCTTCATATTCTGATGACTCACTTATTATTTTGGTGACACGAACTACATCTTTAACGGAATTGGCAGGTGCTGCTGATCCACTATGATCTTTAGTGCCTCCTCGTCTTCGTCTCTGGTAAGTGATTTCATAGTGACACGAAAACTGTGCAGTATTCAGCTGATCATGATCATTGCCAACCTGCACGGTTACCTTGTCAAGAAAAATTGTATCAGAAATTAATAAGCCATGTTTTGCAGCATACACTTCCCATCCCCCTCCAAGATGGTATTGATCACCGATTTCAGTATGCAATAATTTCATCTCCACCAAATTGTTCCCCACAGGATCAAATAAAGGCAGGGCAATATCTCCGCCTGCTGCAGGAAGAGGAAGATCGCGACCCAAATTCTCTTCCACGTCTTTCTTTGGTAGCTCTATGAACATTACACCATTAGTACGGCCACCATATCTGTACACAATTTGCGAACATAATTTCATCTCAACAACTGGTTCTATCTCTATTAATCCTGTAGCACCACGACTAAACGAATATCGTTCACTCAACTTTTTTATATATAGGGCTTTTACATCAGCTCTAGACAAACGTCTGAGCAGTACAGGGTTATTCATGTCAATAGCTTTTTGGTCACAAGTGTGTCCGATACGAAGGCCCAATTGCTGAGAAATCTCAAGAAGTACCAAATCCTTGTGAGCTTTCAATTGATTTTCCATTACGAAATCCTTCCATTGTCCAGTGAAGTAATAACATTCATTTTCTCCTACCAAATTGACTTTCCGTGTTTTTTCTCCAGCATTAACACGGCGTTTTAATTTCAAGCTCTGTATATAATGCGCCAATCTCCTGGGTATCTCTAAGTGATCGCCAGTAATGTCATCTTCGCTTAATTGCTTTTCAAAGAACTGTTTTCCGTTTTCATCTCTGTAAACCCATGCGGTTCCCGTGTCAACAGGGCTACCTCTGTCATTAATATAAGATGCAGAAATATTATCAGTCAGAACTCTACCTACAAAACATACATTTGATATAATAGAATTGGTCTATTAGACCACTTGAAAAACCTGATCAAACACTTTATCAAGTGTTCACGTGCTCAATTGGAATATTTTATAGTAGTGTCTAAATGAAGTTTACTGACAAATTTAAGATATAGTCGATTGACGTTTCAATTAATTCTAGTTCAAAGAGTGGGGAATTATGATATAGACATACGTGGAGTGTTTGGTTTGCAGAGAATCGTTCTCTGAATTGTCCAGGTTATCACAACTGTCATTGTTTTGTTCTTCCACCTTCATTGAATCGCTATGTTGATCAACATGATAGTAACTATCTGATATTTCATTCTTCTCCAGTAGTTGATCACGGAGCCCTGACATTATCACCTTGGTGATTTTTTAGTATGTGATCTTTCTCAAGGAGAAATAATTAACGTAGAAGAAAACAGAGTAGCTAATAATGGGAGTATGGTGTTATAGTTTCACCATTATTTATAGAGGTAGCAATGGAGTGTTCGTGCACCCACGCTTATTCAAACAACATTATCTTATAGTATTTCCCGATTTGCTTTCTGCCTTGTATTTGACCAGTATGTGACAATAACCCTTGTGAAAGATATATAGATAGTAAGTAGCTCCCCTTTATTAGTTTTTTCCAAGTCAATTAACTAAATATGTTGGAGTTCGATTAATCTAAATTTGTAAATTGCAGATCCATTTCTAATTAGTAGAGTCTAAACTAATCAGAGAGCTAGAATCCGAAAATTTTGAGCAAGGGTAGAGAAAAATTCTAACTATTCTATCGAAGCCAAAATCACGTCTTTCTGAGTTATATTACCAAAATATTGGTTGACCAAAGGATTTTAGCTTCTTTTTTTTAAAAAAAAAAAGATTGGCTAAGGAAAGTGTCTTTTTTCAAAAAGGAAAAAAAAAATGAAGGAACATTCACAAGATTTGAAAAAGAAAAAGCACAGCAAAAATATTTAAATAGTTAAGTTTTTAGTTTGCAGAACATTTCTTGAGACCACTTGATCATAAAATAAAATTCTCCAGATGCCGTCGCATTCATAAGAAAGTGAATTTTTAATGATTAATGAATGGTCGACGTTGATATGTCAAACTCAATAAATAAGTTTGATAGTAAACCGTCCTATATTTGTTTGGATAAAGATGAACATATTGATTTAAGCTAAATAATGAATTATAATCAATCATTTTCACCTACACAAGTTTATTTTTATATCTTTTTTGCTTTTATAATTTCTTCTAATCACCAAATCAAAATAATAAAAGCTTTAACCACTTTTAAATCTGCTTATTTTGACAAAGGAATTTTTCATTAAATTGTATTTTTTTCAAAAAGAAAAAAATGAATTATCGAGAACAACAAAATATATTTGGCTAATAATTCGACCCTAATTACTATTCAAAAACACTTCATTTTTTCTTTTAAAGTTTGATCAAATACCTTAATTCTCTAAAATACACTTTTTGCTTTATATATATATATCCTTCTAAAGCCATCCAAATCAAGTTGAACAAGTTAATTATATTTTTATGGCGCTATAATCGGCACCCCTAGATGATACGTACTAATTTTAAATTTTCCATGCCGTCCAAATAAGTAGTCCAATGCTTTTTTTATTTTTTCATGATATTTCAATTTGGATTTCTCTCTTTTTGGCCACAAAAATATATTACTTATTTTTTAAAAAAAAAAAAAGAGTTGGAATTTTAAAACAAGACAGAGAGTGATGTTCCTTGGGGCATTTGACTTTTAGGATTTGTTAGACAAAATTATTAGCTGAACTAAAAAATGGGGGTGTCATGGGTGCAACAACTAATTTGCAAATTGATTTCCCACTCCTTTAATTATCCTCTCCCTCAAGACTCGTTCTGATCATACCTTTCTCTCTTCTTCTTCCTTTCATCAATTAATTACACCAAAAATATCATATTCATGAATTCCGTAAGTTTCTCTCTCTTCTAGTTTTTTTTTTTTAATTCTGAATTCGTTCTGCCTCTAAACGTAAAGGTTCTTGAATTTGTGCTATTCTAAAATATAATGAGATTCATGAAATCTGTAAAAATCCAAAACCCCGACGCCTCACATTTCTCTTTTAATGAATTAGACGTTACGAAAAAATGATTGTTTTGTTCCTATATGGCATATGTCTTATTGGCTACGACCAACCTTTTCAATCGGTTTGCTGCATTTGATTTCACCAACAAGTTTTTGTGTATTTTTTTTTATAGCACGATGGAGCATGTGTTAGTTGATAATCCCTTTTACATTTCGGTTTAACAAAGGTATTTTGTTGATTGTTCATACAAAACATAAAGATTGGAAGAAAATCACACGTTAGAGTTGTTTGACTTTATGGCAAGTTTAAGAAAAAGAAGAGAAAACCTGTTATGCCATTTGTACAAGTTTAGCATGTTATTGAAAACTCTGCTTTTTGACATTGGCAATTTCTAGCAAGAGAAAGGTCGGCCATTGCCGAAATTCGGGGAGTGGGATGTAAATAATCCAGCCTCTGCAGATGGATTCACTGTCATATTTGCTAAGGCTAGAGATGACAAGAAGGCTAATAGCAGTGCAGCACCAACACAAACGCCCAGAAATGACTATGCATATGGACAACCGAACCCTTATCAGCAAGAAACCAGGGTATATCCATCCCCTCAACTACTAAATCTTACTAATACTTCTTCTTTTTGTGCTACAAGCATTCAAGAAATTACATTTTGGAGTTAAAGTCTAGTCGTTGTTATTTTCTTACTATCATATGTTGTTGTTACTGTCATAAATGATGTGTTTTTGCTTTCCTTGTGCCGAACCTGCCAAGGGAGGGGTAAGGTCACCACTTGTGGGACTATACTGCGTAATTTGTTGTTGTTTAGAGTTTGGTTCTAGGTACTAGTCTGTCTTTTGAGATTCAGAGAAGTATTATTCTAGATTAGAGTTGTCTTGTGGTGACATGATATGTGTTTGAATAAGGAAACTAGAACCAGATCTAACTGAAACTGATTATATTGTCCACAAAAGAAAAATTAACAAGTAGCGGTTTTGTTGGAGAGTTCATGTTGAATGTTTGTTAGGAGACTTTGTAATCTTGTTAGTAGGAAATGTAAAGAATTTATTCATGTTCATAGAACAGTACTCAAGACCCCAACTAGATTCTAATATGTAGTATTTGTATATATGCAGAAAAGAAGGTTTTGCTGTTTCTGAAAGCAGGATGTTTCGGTGGCTGTGAATTATGAGACTTTAAGGCCATCGGGAATTGCAGTTCAAGTCTGCCAAGTGGGAGAATGAGTGCTGCACCTTCTGTTTGTATTTTACTCTATTGATTATTTGTTGCATATAAGGTTTTCTTCAACTCTCTCTACTCTCTACTCCCCAATATATGTATGTATGTATTCAGGGGAATCGTCGACCAACACACGCTAATGTATTCTACTTGAAAAGCATAGTCGATCACTCTCTCCATTTCTATCTACAACGCATCATCCATCACTATACTGAATTTTTATGAGCAAATTTTCAATGTTCGATTTGAATAGTTGATTGAACCTACATGGACTGTGTATCTTATACATTACTTGTCCATCAAAGTTGGCTGCTAGCTATAAGAGAGAGAAACAAGTCATCTTTCGTAGCTGTCAGTAGAGAAAGAACTAACAAGTCATTTTTAGGATACTACATTATGCACTTATTATAAAGAGTTGCTTCCTCAACTTAATCTTGTGCTGTTTGTTTACAAAACTTAAATCTCAAACCAAAATATTTTTTATTTTTGAAACAAAAGAACTACGATCTAAATTTGTTCCATTAAATTGGTTTTCTTAAGTTTGGTTTTGAATTAATGATTTGGTTATTTAGATAAAATATTCATGTCTTAATAATTTTTCAGTCCTAATAAAATAATCATGTCAAAATTGCCTTAATAATTTTTAAATCCTATCACGATCATCCGAATAAAATGTTCATTCTAGCAAGGATCATTAGGAAGGAAATTCCTAATCTAAATTAAGTAAAAACTTCAAGTCACTCATTACTCAATCTTTTAAGTTATATGAAATAACTCAAATATAATCATTAATTAATATAGTATTTCCTTAAGGACACAACTCCTTGAATCAAAATAAAAAATACAGTCAGAGTGAATACATCTCAGCTTGCACTATTTACCATGAGTCGAATTTGATATATGGGTTTATGTTTAATCTATAAAAAACACTAGTGTCCGAAAAGTTGAATGCAATATTCTAATCATAATTTGAAAATTCAAATTAAAAATTGAATTTCAATTTTGACGAAACTATTGCCATCCTGCATTTATACATCAATAGTAGTTGTCAAATAGGGTTATCTATCACAGTTAAAATGGTTAATTTGAAACGTGAATCGCCTCGTATGAGCATAACATATTAAACAATACATAAAAATATAACAGTGTTTACGGAATGTAAATTACGACCTATTAATGAATTTAAATCGGTCAAGTATCTCCCGAATTAATAGGACCTGTATTATTATCTGTTGCTTATATTTAATTTGTATTGTTAGTTTGCTATCCCTTTTTCTAGGTCACAAAATAAATAACACAACACCGAAGATATTATTTATGTATTTCAGTAAAAACGATGCTGAAAAAAGCGAAAAGCGATTGATCCAGGACGCGAGCCAACCACGTTACTTAGAAATAATCTAACGATTACAAATCCGACACGTCATCAATATTCGACACAGATCCCAACTCATTCACGGCAAAGCTTATTAGTCGACGAAACAATAAATACAACCTCAAATATTTTTCACATGTACCGAACTACCCCTTCCACATCCACCCATTCTCAAACACAAAACCACCCAATGTCGGTTTCTTTTACATGCCTATTTCCGTCATTTAATACCAATATTTTTCTTTAATATAAAATCCCCCTCTATTGGCTTTCTCTAGTAGCAACCTATCCAATCACTCCGTTTTTGGTATTCATTCATTCTTCAATGGCGACTAGTTTAATCCGACGAGCGATTTCTAGGGTTCAGTCATCAGCACCGGCGGCGAGGCTACTCGTCGCCAGAGCTCACGCTTCCGACTCCCAAGCACAGAAGGTAGAATCTAAGCCTAATCTCAAATCATTTCAAATTTACCGATGGACTCCAGACAACCCAGGGAAACCTGAGCTCAAAGAATACAAAATCGATCTGAAGGAATGCGGACCTATGGTTTTAGATGCGCTAATCAAAATCAAGAATGAAATTGACCCTACACTTACCTTCAGGAGATCCTGTAGAGAAGGGATCTGTGGTTCATGTGCTATGAACATCGACGGATGTAATGGACTCGCTTGTTTGACCAAGATCTCGTCGGATTCTGAATCGACGATTACGCCGTTGCCACATATGTTTGTCATTAAGGATCTGGTGGTGGATATGACTAATTTCTATAATCAGTACAAGTCTATTGAGCCTTGGCTTAAGAGGAAGACACCTGCACCAACGCCTGGGAAGGAGATACCACAGAGCAAGAGCGATAGGGCTAAGTTGGATGGGATGTACGAATGTATTCTATGTGCTTGCTGTAGCACATCATGTCCTAGCTACTGGTGGAATCCTGAGTCTTATCTTGGTCCCGCTGCACTCCTCCATGCCAACCGGTAATATTTGTTTGTTATTATCATGTCAAGCTCTTCCTCTTTTGCATTTACTCTTTATTGATGTGCTGTAGTTTGTTTGGTCGTTTGGATCATATATCAAATTAAATACATCTTTAATTGGTGGATAGCGTTACCCCGAACCTATGCAGCTGTGTTGGTGGGGAGGTAGAAAGATACCTATAAACAATAAACATTTAACTTTTCTGGAAGTGCAGCAAATATATGGTACTTATAAATATAACAGGTTGGGCCATAAAAATATTTGAATTGATTGTATCAGATTAAGAACGCCGTGTGCCTTTCAGATATGAAATGAATCTCATTTCCGTGAGCTGAAACACTATCCAACTTCTTGTAGAAGATGGATCAAAGAAAAAACTTTTTGTAGAAGTTTGATGAATCATATGCTGAAACGTCTTATTTTATGGTAAAACCGTGCAATTTCCATGGTAGTTCTGGTAATCTTATTCTGAGTTGTCATTGGACAACTTTGAAACATTAATTTCTCATCTTACTAATCCCTAATTGGTTCATTAATTTGTACTTGTTTCTAACCTTTGTCATCTTTAATTTGATTCAAAACTGAAGATATACGTCCAAAATCTCATTTTAGACAATACATCTTTCAGCTTTTTGAATGCCGTGTGGTTAATTTTTTTGCTCTGCTGTCCTCCATAAAAAATCTAACTAATGTGCCAAGAATAGTTAGGTTTTACTCTCCTTTGCATTAACATTATACACGTCTCTTTCATTCCTTCTGCTGCCTGCACCACCAATTGACAACTAACTGTCCTTCTTGGACCATTCCGCTCCTATTGTGCTGATCCTTTCTCTCTAGAACAATCAGTTTTATAACTCTCATACTAGTTGTAGGGGTAGCCTACATTATGTCCTTTGGGTGCTCAAACACATACTAGTGGTTAATTGTCTGTGTTTTTATAGGAAATTAATTATATTTTGTAAATAGAGGCACAGTGAACACCCAAAGCACATGAGGGTTTGGGTGCACTGGTTTAGAGGGCAGAGGAAAGGTCACTGCATATATTGTGTCTGGGATCAATCTAAGTATTAACCGGCGTTTGTTTTTATGCATCTTCCTTTGAATGTTTTACGCTTATCTATTCTTCTTGTTTCCTTGTTACTGAATTCATACTTCTTTGTTCCTTCTATTTTTTACCTTATTAACTTTTTCCCTTTCTTTTTCTGTGTTTTTGCTTATCCATATTTCTTTTTTCCTTATTACTGTATATGAATGGGAGAATCCTACAAATGAAGTACTCTATGCAGTCGATTTCGTTTTGTTCTTTTCAAATATTGAATCATATCCGATGGGTATGATGGTTGATTTTTAAAATTTAAAACCAAATCAAATCAAGTCAAAGAATATGTCAATTTTTGTTACACATCAATTCAGTTTAGTTTTCTTTTTGGTTTGATTTTTTTAATTTTCTGGAACACTTCTATTTGTAATGATAATATTCATTATGTTTTTTTGACTTTCTCCACTAAATCACCTTAAAATTTCAAGTGTGTCGCAACCTACATTCAAAGGCATTGACTATCATGATACTAAAATCTTAGGGCCACCACTGATCAGCTTGTAAGGTTCAAAGACAATAGTAGTGTTAGAAGTCCTTTGCTATTCTTTCTCAGTGTGGGAATTACATGCAAGGATGGAAAAAGTTCAAATCACACCCTGGGCGAGTCGTCATTCAAAGGAAAAAAAGAAATTGATAGGAAAAGTAGATGAAAGGAGGACCTTTTTCTATTCAGTTCTACAAACCTGGGGATATATATTATTATGTCAAAGGGAGTATTAGAGGAATGCTGTTGCCTGAGGCCAAATGCTAGAGATGTTTTCGGTTAACATCTTGTCCAAACGGCTTTTGGACTTGTATGACCGACTTGCTTAGAGATGTAGGGCATTATTTACCTAGGTCAATTGCATGATGAGGGAGTAAGAGTTTTGGATTTCCGAAATTTCAGTACTTGCCTTGATTTTCTAGAGTTTTGGATTGTTTATAAGAAGTTCTACCCCATTAACCCTACTATCCATTATTCCCATCCTTGCGATATATTTAACGGAGGCTTATCTCTTGTATTTAAATGTAGATGGATCATGGATAGCCGTGATGAATATACTCAGGAGCGCCTGGATGCAGTTAATGACGAATTCAAGCTTTATCGCTGCCATACTATTCTGAATTGTTCTCGTGCTTGCCCAAAGGGATTAAATCCCGGGAAGCATATTCAGAACATCAAGAAGCTGGAGATGGCACCTTGAGCCTGCAGTGTAGTGTGTTCCAATCTTTTCTGCTAAGATTGATTTTGAAGGACTAGTAGGAGGTTGTGTCCCAAAATAATGTATGCACAGATTGTAATTTACTCTCTGAGATCTTTTTAATACTTGAATTTGAGATGAAAGGTGCATCTCTCTGAAATATAATACAGTATCAATTTCAAGTACATTGCTCCATAATGCCATTAAGGCAGTTTGTGTTTCCTCATAAGTTTTTTTAGCTAATGTGTGTTATTTGAAGGAGTGATTATTTGTTATTCCCTTTGTATGTTGCTTCTCAGCAACATACAGATCTGTGTGGTGTTTAATGATACTCGAGTTTCTTTGAGTCAATTAGTTTTAAGTTATTTGTGTTCGGAACTTGATATTTATGGGCATGAAAAGAGATAGTAGTACTAGTACATTTTTCAGAATCGCAGTGGACACTAAAAAAAAGAAAGAAAAACTGGCACTCCCCAAAAGTTTTAGTTCCTCATATGAGAAGTATGACCCTTTGATTATACATTAGATTGAAGTTTGAAAACAGTAGATATAGTACTTATATTAGCACAAGCATTGGATGATCTCCATTGAATCAATTGTTTTTATCTTCACGAGGTTTGCTCAAACTCCTAAAGTAGGATAGTATTAAGAGATAATTATTTTATACTGCTATATATAACAACCCCCACCACATGAAAACCAATAATCAGAAGAAAAGGAATGAAGTTGTTAGTAGTAGTTAGCTTTCTAGTTTCTATGGTGATTATTATTAGTACAATTGTTGGAACAAGCACTCGTCTGCCCTTTCTCATAGACTCTAAGACTGTGGAGCCATCTCAATACTTCACAGTAACAGGTTACCACTTGAAACAAATAGTATTAATTTTTTTCTCATTAGGTGACTGATGAAATAACTTCATTCTTCTATATCTATATCACAGGGTGTAACAACGACTGTGATATAGCCTGTTGCTATTGTGATGTTACAAAACAACCACCTCTCTGCGTTCAGTGCTGCCGTGAAGAGCGTTGAGCCAAAAACGATAGAAGAAATATATTGGTCAACGAGGGGAACCAACTCTCCTTTAATTATGTTTTTAAATAAGAGATGTTTTTAAATAAGAGACTTAGATTGCATATAAGAGATGTAAAAGATACTTGATTTGCTCTCTTCATTTACAACATACATCAATAAACTATCAAAATTGATGGGTAGTCCAAGTTCAAAGAAGTGCATTCGAATTCAGAAAAATATGTTCATTATTCCTCATCAGCAGGTTATTTGCAGCAATCATCTCCCGTTCTTGTGAAAGCAATAAGCTTAATACAACTTACCCAACATATTGACTTCACCTCGTTGGTGACCTCAACTGAAGGTAAGACTCACTAAAATATTACCAAAATTTATACACTCCTTGTAAGTCCAAGGAACACCACAGCAGACGCAATCTGAACTCTTAAATCTGCAATATCAACATCATGACCACCTTCAACAAGACCCCAATTGTCAACCTGTAAGAAGCCAGGGAAAGTGAACACTTAAAACTTGCGTTTTGGTAGCGCAGGCATCGATTATGTAGAGATACTACTAAATGAGAGACAACAGCCCTGGCTGTTCGCGTATTAGATAGGTTACACGAAGTCCTACAAAAGATAAAGAAAGGAAATTGACTGTGTACAAACCTGCAAATCTTCCTCAAGCCTAATTAACTCAATAGCTTCCTCAATCCCCAATCTACCACGGAAAATTCCAAGTGCAATGACTAAAGAATGTGCAGCTGAAGCAATTGCATCAATGGTTGCCAATTCACAATCATCTGTTTTCTTGAGAACGCTTCCGATGGCACTAACAAGACCATCATCTTGCTTGCCACCAAAAAAACTGGTGTGTACAGTGGGTTTGAAGCCGAATTCTGACTCTACCCACTTAAGAAGGGGATCAATTTTCTCTACTTGACGCTCTGTGAAATTTCGAAGTGTCAAATCAATATTCAAAAAGTACTAGTATGAAACCTAAATAAAAGGCCAAAACAAACAAAAGAGTGCTGCAGGCTTGCTGATAAGCTACGTTGCTCGGAGTCTTCAAAAATGTAAATGGATGCATGTCGGATCCTCCAAAAATAGTGTATTTTTGAAGGATCCGACACGAATGTGGCAGCATTTTTGGAGAGTCCGAGCAACTTAGCTGTTGGTAAGCATATACCAAACCAGTAAATAGCTCTTGCAGTCAGAATATGGAGTCTAAACTCTTCTAGCTCTTGTGATATTAACAATACAAAAAGTAATTCTAGGCCGCTTCACAGTTGGCCAAATAGATGGAACTTCTGAGCACAAAGCATATTCCATTTATAGGAGGAGCTAACAATGTTACAAAAGCTTAGGATCACTGGAATATCTAATATGCTCTATCGGATTTAAAATCACCCTAGGAAGAATCCAAAAGGAGACTTCTGGATTTTTAAAATATAATGAGGAGACTAGAATAGAAAGATATCATCATGGGTGATGATAGTCATGCTCAAAGAATCCCTTCCCTAGATCCATCAACACTGAAGTACAGTATAACTTCAAGTAACGTTGAAAAAAGAAGTGGCCCTCAAATGACGTTTCATTTTATCTTTTGTTTTGGGACTAGAGTCACAACATTAATTCCTTCGACCAATAAAAAAACTGTGGTGAAATCCCCCATATTCAACCAAGACCACTCATCTCTCTCCCCTTTCTCCACTACTGCCCTTCCAGTGAACCTTCTCATAACTCTGAGCGGATCCTATTAGGTCTTCATTCTTCCTACATCATATCAGATCCTATAAAATTCAGAAGGCCACTGGAACCCTATTCAAACCACCTACCAAACCATGTCTGATCACACTTCCTAACACTGAACTGTAGTCCCTCTTAATAATACTCACACTGTTCCTAGCACCATTTTCCCCATCAAAATTTATTCTTCAGTTCACTGAATTAAACCTTGAAGAGAGTTCAATTATCTACCAGGTTTTAGTAGTGTGCTTGGCGGGCAGAATATATTGCTAAATGAAACTTTGATATAGTGGGTGGTTCAAATGTAAAAGGTGCAATGGAATTCTGGAGATAAAAAATAAGCGATATATCATTACTGTCTTGTCCTCCAATACGCTCTAACATGGGGTAGCAGAATTGTGCTATCACAAAATGCTCTCAGAAGCTAGAGAGATAATTGCATTATTTAAGATCGAATCATTCATCGGAAAAAAAAAGAGCAGAAACTATTAACCATGTAATCTCAAGATGCATGAGGTCGTCCAAATACCAGAGTAAAGAGCACAATAAAAAATTCTTTACACAGATTAGCAGAGGCTGATATAAATTTCAGACTCCAATTACTAACCATTTGCTGGAAAAGCAAAAGATTCCCTCCTTCTAAACTCGAAAGAAACTAGCTAACAACGGCATGCTCTATCCTTGGCTATGACTGACACTAGCAGTGGGTGAGATCTAGACATAGAAATAGGACAGCTGAATTATTAATCATTTCAATATTTTCCGTTCTTAATTATTTTTTCAAAAAATGAGTACAGCTGGGCAGCAAAAGACTTATGAAAATTATATCAGACCACTACTTTTTGCCACTTGGTAAAAACAAGCCTGTTCACCATAAATTGCCCAACAAATGAAGGATATCAAAACTAAGTTTGCTCCTAAAGACATGTTTGAAACCGTTTTATGAGAAAAGCAAAATGTTGAGAGCATATAAAAAGAATTACACTTAGCAAAATAACATACCAAGAACTCCGCTTGTCAGATCATTATCCCCTGGAGCACGACAGAATACTAAATCTTGAGGGAATTTCTTCATCAAATATTCAATTATCTTATGACGCGTCAGTGGAACTCTTTCTAGTGCAGTACATGATAGTTTCATTAATGGCATAGTAAAGGGCCTGATCCCATCTGCTTCCTACACCAAAATACATTTCAGGCCAAGGGTAGCAAAACACACAATTAAAACATCAAGCAATATGGGAAATATCAAGTTCCCTGGATATAGAAAACACATGAATGACGAAAAAGAGAAGTTCACTAAAATGGGCATCTGAGAAATGAGGAATAGAGGACCTGGTATTCCCATTCAGCAGCAATAGCCTTAGCAAGAGCGAGAGTGGGGCATTTGAGAGGGCGCTTAGAAGGGGTTTTAAGCGTACGGTAATCAAGCATAACACTCCAACCATTTCCATCTTCAGCTTCTCTAGTCGTCACTTTCTGATAAAACCTCTTTCCCACAATTGATCCAGTCATGAAAGACATAGGCATCGTCACAGAATCCGCCTCTTTTGACGAAGAAGCCTTCTTTGGACCCTTAATGAAGATATTTTCATCGATTGCTGATTTTCTCTGATAATTCGAGTCTGCATCGCCCGAATTCTCAGAGAAAGTGAATGAGGAAGATGGGACATCAGATTCCGGTTGTACAGATTCAGCCAAGTTACTGAAACAGCGAGTATGCAAAGAGGTTAGGTTTCTTAGAAGGGAAAAGTTTGATGCTTTAAGACTTCTTCTCACGATTTCAGCCGCCATAGCTTGGAGAGAAGACGATGGATGCAGCTGAAGACGTTGAATTTGCTACTGCTCAGCACGAGAAGCATTCTGTTTTGGGTTTGGGCCTGATAAATTCTTCCAGGAAACAGGCCTCAATAAAGCATTTAGGCCCAAATTAATTGTTCAGGATCCATAGATGTAGTCAAGGCCCACTTGGATTAGCTGAATTTAAGTAAGAATTTAACTTACTAAGGGATATTGAAGGGCCTTAAAGATACAACTTAATAACTTTTAAAGAAAAATGACAAAAATCACACTTTTAAGTTCTCTTACTATCATTAATTCCTATTATTAGTTTACAAATTTCTAAAATTTCTTATTTTCATTCATCAAATTAATGTATCAGCGTATCAAATTAATGTAACTTGCGGAATTAACTGAATATTAATCATAGAGGAATGGGGGTAGAATAGAAAATGGGGGTCTAGGGCAAGAGTATTATACAAGGATTTCTTTTTCTTTTCAAAAACTCCATTTTTCTCATTTTTCTGAGCATGTATTTGAAAAATTCACTTCATTGAGTTAGTCAGACCACCTCTTCTTTTTATATGATAGTATCTATCGGTACTTTCAAAGTTGGAAGAAAGAAGGAAGAACTCAATTTCTTGGCTGCTATCATATATTATTAGATAGCATGCATCAGATTAATTCATCAGCGCATCAAATTAATGTATCTTGTGCATCATATTAGTGTATCATGTATAAAATGTACATCAGAATAGCGTATCATGTACAAAATATAATGTATCTTACTTAACGATTAATGTATCTCGCATATCAAATTAATGTATCAGCTCTTATATTATTGTATCAGTTTGAGGAATTTCTGTAATTATAACCTTATAAAGGACAAATGATAATTTTGCCTTAAAAGTACAAATCATGTCCTTTGCCCTAACTTTAATTACACGAATATAGCAATATTTTTTTTTCCAACTGAATAGCAATTTTTTTTTTTCAAAATTGGAATTCTTATTAAAATTACAAAAAGAAAATGTGTACCAAGTCACCTTAAATTTCTTCAATTATTTTATCTTCCCTAATTTACATATATCATATCCTATAAAGAAAGGTTTTCTTAAAAAATAGAACTTATGTTCCAAACTAAGATAAAAAAAAAATATGCAGTTAAATAATTTTTCAATTTTAATTCATCGCAGGCGTTGATAGTGATTCCTTTGATTTTGTCGAACTTGTTGAATATACATTCTTAAGATTTTGATTAATGTTCTGGTGCAATAGTAACAGATATAATTATTAAATAGATATTAATATTTAGCAATTGTTTGTGGAATATTAATAGGATTTTCACATAATCTGTGTTTTCATTCTTTTTGGTATTTATTCGTTGTATTATACTAACGATTTTGGTGTAATAAAACAACATCATATGATTTTGGTTATAATCTGATGACCCGAAAAAGTTTTTTTTTTTAAATAATAGGTTAAATTGATTAAAGCACCAAGTTAATATAAATTCATTACTTAAGTGATTTAATTGGTATGTTGAATGCTGAATATTAACTGATTTTATGAATAGTGTATTTTGGTATGTGATATGCTATAAACATATAAGTTAAATTTCAGATACATATATATATTGTTGTGTATTTAGTTGTATTATTTGGTATATAAAATATAACTTTCAAAAAAAATTGGTTAATATTTTTGGTGTATTTTGTTTATCTGAATTGGTGTAGATAATAATTCAAAAATTGGTCATATGTGATCTGTTACTTAATCTGGTGTATTTATTTTTATAAATTGGTGATAAATTATAATTATGATGAATGTGTTAGTGTATTTTTTGTGTTGAATGTCATATTACTTTTGGTCCGTCGATTGTGTGAATTACCACAAATTGATTTATTAGGTATGTGATATGATATTTATGCTGGTATATTTGTTTCAAGTGAAATGACACCAAAATAATTCTATGATGTGTTGAGCTTGGTGTATTTATTGGTCTAATATATAATATCATAATTTCAAAATACATAATAAACTATTGATGTATTTATTAGTGTAATAAATTATTTGGTGTAATCGATTATGAAAATTGAGGTGAAAAAATTTATGCACATTTCGGGCAATTAGTAAAGTATATCGGTAATTGTCTTATATACTAGTATCAAATATCAATGTAACTGCCAAACTGTTTAAATTGATGAGTGCATAAAATTTATTATGTATTTTTTAGAAAAATTATTAATTATTTAAAATTTTCTATAGGTAATTACGTGAATTACGAAATTGAAGGAGTGATGTAAGATATAAACACCAAGTATGAAGGCTTGATTACTACTATATCTTCACAATTAGATGCGGACACGATCATTAATCATTTGATACTCAAGTATTTCGTAATTGGTACATCACCACTAATGAAGATTCCTAACGATCTGAGTGTATATAATTCCAGCCTAAAACAAAATTAATTTTAGTAAAACTAGTTAATGTAAAAAAAAACTTGGTTATCAGAAATAATAGTCTATATTAATATAAAACGTTGATTAACCATTGTAAAATATGCCGAGATATTAATAAAATTTATTTTTAAAATCCTTGAAAGATTTAAAATGTCTTAAAACAATTCTATTGAGTACTCAATGATTTTGAGATTGCGTAACACAAATAAAAGATTTCTTCAATCTCATGAAAATGATTTAAAATATTATGTATTAGTGCAATTGGTGCACTTACAGATTGCTGGTTATGCATATGCTAGAAGAAGTGTAACTTTCTTTGAGAAGAAAAGACGAGTTTCAATGAAATTGATCAATCTCATGAGTCAGAAATGATTTGATTATGTGTATGCAAAATATTTATTTGATCTACCAGAAAGCTCGATCGGAAATGAACTATTTGCTGACATATGGAGTCACAACAATATATTGACATTCAACAAACATTGATAACCACTCCTTCAAATCATATTGATCAATGAAGTAAGTCAAGGGTGTGTTTGGTTGGAATCATAATCTATCATATTCAGAAAATAAGTGATTTTCATTTGACAAATATATATAGTTCAATTGAATGGAAGATATAATCAAAGGAGAACAGACACAACATATTTAACCAAAAGTATTTTTCACACATGATCTTCAACAAAATGATGAGATAGACGTACAAAGATCCATTCAAGTGATAGTCTTGTAAATTTATTCACTAAAGATTGTCAACATCAATATTTGAGAAAGTTGTGATACAAGATTGAAATGCATTGTTTTCAAGATATTAAGTGAAGTTTTTATCAGGGAGAGAAAAATACGTATTGTACTCTTTTCCTTAACCATGTTTTTGTCCCAAATGTGTTTTCCTGGTAAAGTTTTTAACGAGACAACATTCAAAGCTTATTAGAAAATATGTGTACTCTTTTTCCTTCAGTAAGATTTTCTCCCACAGGGTTTTTTCCTAGTAAGGTTTTAACAAAGCATATTATCAATGGACATCCAAGAGGGAGTGTTATAGAACAATATAAACACCAAGAAGTTACTCACCCATTATCTCCACTATTTTCCTCATTATGAAGATGATCATAACCTCCATAACCTCCACCTTTATAACTATTATTCTTGTAACCTTTCACTTTCATAACCTCTCCATTATATTCATGTTAATGACCTCTCCATTATATTCATGTTAATGTCATGTTTATGACTAACCTTTTATATGCCTCTATGCTACACAATAAATAGAGGCATAAGGGTTCATATTGTATAACTTGAAGGTTTAGTAAAGACTTGAATAAAAAAAGCTCTCATCTTTTTGTCTACCTACTTCTATTATTTTCATCTTTTATATCTCTTCTTTTATATTCTTCTTTTCTTTATCTTTATATTGTTAGTTTGCTTCAATTTTACAAAAATACAAACTTATCACTAAAAAATAAAATAATTTGAATCTGAAAGATTGATACCAGAAAACGGAATGGAGAGAACATTTTTATTGTGGACACGTGGCTTACATATAAACAAAATAATAATGGAGGGATCCTTTCCTCTTTTCCGGTATAATTTGTTCAATTTCAAATCATGCAATCATATTTTCTTGCTTGAACGTAAGCACTTCGGTATAGATGATGGGTGAAAGGGACGTGAATATGGACGAAATATGGGGCACATTCATTACTTGCGTAAAATAAATTATTTTCTATGTCCATTTTTAGTTGTTATGATTTTATTTATCATCAAACAATAAGAATTTAATGCATATTTTTGTATAAACTTTTTTTAGAAAAAACATTAATATAATTTAATTTTTAAAGATTAGTTAAATTGACTTAATTTTGAAAACGGGTTGACTTAAATTTAAAAATTGGTCAAGTTTGACTGAGTATTGACTTCTGTATTAATGTTGGTTACATTGGGATTTGCATCGAAATAAATACCCCTATTCTTTTTCTAGACACAAAAATAGGGATTTTACGATTCGATTTTTGTCTTCAATCTAGTTTGTTAATTAATGGCTTCTTGGAATTCCGTTCCACTGGAAGTGTTGTATAATGTTTTGGGATGGATTGCGTTTGTGTCATGGTCTATTAGCTTTTATCCTCAGGTCATTTTGAATTTTCGTCGGAAAAGGTAATTTTCTGCTTTTATTTTTAATTTAATTTTGCAACTTCAGTTATTCTGATCAGTTATTTCTAATTTTTTAGTGTGGTGGGATTGAATTTTGATTTCGTGGTGTTGAATTTGACAAAGCACTCGTCTTATCTCATCTACAATGCTTCCATGTTCTTCAGTTGTGCTGTTCAAAGGCAATATCATAATCGATATGGCAAAAATGAGGTTCATTGTGCGATAAACACATGTGTACATGTATGGTGTTTTGTTTTGTGCTAATTAATTAATTAATTGTTTAACTTCAGATGATACCTGTAGCTGCCAATGATGTGGCTTTCTCTACTCATGCTCTTCTTTTAACAGCCTTTACCTTGTTTCAGATCTCTATCTATGATGTATGTAAGTGTACCTATCTCTTTTCAGTTCAAATTATTAATTTCCTTCTCATAGACATATGGAGTAGTACATCTCTTTTCAGCGTGGAAATCAGAAGGTATCGAAAATTGCTATAGCAATTGTTTCTGTTGCTTGGTTAAGTGTTGCAGTTTGTGTGTTTGTGGCTATCCCTAAGCATTCCTGGCTATGGCTAGTGTCCTGTTTCAAGTAAGCCACCTTCTTTTAAAATCCACAATTTAACTCACATTTTTTGTCTGATCAATCCCTAGTTATTGGGTTATAAATGAATATCACTGAACCCGAACTCTATCTACTATGACAATATAAAATCTCACACTTGTTTCTGTCAATTGCAGCGGATTGCAGGTTGCTATGACAGTAACCAAGTACATTCCCCAGGTAAATATGGCTTAGTCCTGTTTTGTTTGAGAAAAAAGTTATCAATTGCTTCCAGTTATTTTTATGATAGAGTCGTCTGCTTCTTCGACATATTACTTAGTTTACTTCCAATGCTTCCCTGGTTTAAGAATGTTGGCTGTCGAAAATCTATAGGCTGTTATGAACTTCCGGAGAAAGAGCACCGTTGGTTTTAGTATTGGTAACATTTTGCTGGATTTGTTTGGAGGTTTAACAAATTACGGGCAGATGGCAGTGCAATCTATAGATCAACGTGAGTTTCAATAATATAATCTTCCTATATGCAGTATCTAGCTAGTTATGAATGTTTGTGTGCCTAAGTGAGAGAGTGTTTGATCTACTTTTCCCACAGATTCGTGGGTGAACTTTTATGGAAACATCGGCAAGACTTTGTTGTCATTGGTATGAAATGTTCGTCTGTGTTTTTACCTATATACACTCGTCTTTGTATTTTGAATAAATGAATGTTGCAGGTGTCGATATTCTTTGACATTCTCTTCATTCTGCAACATTATGTGCTATATCCTTCAACGAAAGAAGTGGTTTCTCCTAAATTTGATGTGGTAACACTCAAATATATTCCACATACATAATGTCTTAGATAAAAATGCACTTTTTTCTTCTTCAAATGAAGTGTTTCTAGTGCAAATATTTATCGTTTATAATTTGGTTATATATGCATTACTCAGGAGGAACCAAGGGACATTCAGGGACGTTGATTGTAAAACAGTGGAATTTGAACTTTCTCAAGTCATCTTGGTGTACGTAACAGTATTACTCCAGTCGAAACATAGTTAAAGAAGATGTAGTCTATTATATTTTATAAATTTAACGTTTGGAGTATTTCAAAATCGTAGTTTGTTTATTGATATGCTCTGTCATTTCTAAATTCAAGTTTGTAATTAATAATTGAACATGTTTTTAAGAATATTTCAAGTTTATTATGAACCAAATTCATGATTCCGTTTCAATTATATTAAAAACTTTAAACCAATAGTACTGAGTCATAATCGACATATTTAATTGATCCCTCATATATTCTCTGTATAGTTTTGACCCAATGTGCGATAAATAGAGTTTTTGGTCAAAAATATCATTAAATTATACCTCAAATTTAAAATACATCTTTAAAGTATCATTATTAGCAGGAAAATATCCTTCAAATATATAAAAGTGAACAATTTTCATCCTTTTATTAGATATTGTCAAAAAATTAATGAATCATACAAAAACATGAGCAGTTCACGTGACTATTAACAAAAATTTTCCTGCATAATTTCGTTATATGCTATAAGAAGTTCCTGAAAAATATATATTAAGAATGTTAGAATATTGCTCATTGAAAAAAAAAATGTATGGAAGATGTGAGGATACATAATCTGCTCTTTCCCATTTGGTAACGGAAAGAAGCTGAAACTTAATTATCTTTACTTTTTCATAACCAAAATGTATTTAATCAATAAATATTTGAGCAAATCTAATATATAAGTGATCAAAATATTGATTATGTCTCGCTTTTGAGTTTCATTCTACATTATTAGAAGAGATAGAAGAGCAAGCCTCCAACAAATGTCGCTTCCAGCATATTCAATTGAGAAGAAACTCATTTCAATTAATAATATTTTTAATATCAAATTACATGAAAAATAAATGGAAAAAATCTGCCAATTTAAAAGATTTTGCATAATGTTAAATTCTACTATAGAAAAAATTCACGATAGTATTTTTGGCATATCTAAAAATAATAATTACGAATGGATGACTTGATTTTTGTGGATGTGTTAGTTTTCTAATAAGTCAAGTAGAAGGATGAAAATTGTTCACTTTTAAATATTGTTTTCCGCTAAAATGGTACTTTAAGAATGTACTTTAAAATTCAGGTATAATTGAAGGATGATTTTGATCAAAAACTTCACCTAGATAATATAAAAACCTATATTATTAAAGTTGGGAAGTGCTTAATAGTCAGAATTATCTAATCATAATTTGGCCAGATTTATAAAAAGACTAATTTTAACCTTTTTTCCTTTCAAAGTAAAATCAAATCTTTATTATTATAATTTCCTAAACTTATAAAAATACGTATGAACATTCATTGTTATGTTTAATGAGTCAAAATTATTATTAATTGTGGGAAAGAAATTTTTTAATTTTATAATGTGGAACCATTACAATCTAACTTCATTTTTTTAATTCTTCCTAGTTCACTCTTTTTTCTATTCCTCTTTCTTCCTCTTTTCTCTAGTCCTTTCTCTTTTCTTTTCCATTGCGTGTAAAACTAATTTTACTATAAAAATTCTAAATTTTATCAATGTTTCTAATTTTGAATTTGTAAAATAATATTTGTTTATTTCTATTATATTCAAATCATCCGATTCTAGAATTAAGAACATAAAAGATTATTCGTTAATATCTAACTTCATTACACAAAATTTGTTGGCGATATACAATATTACATTAGTTTTCTTTATTTTAATTTCTTGATGGTAGAACTAATACACTATCATCAATATTAAAAATATATGATTTGATTATTTATTTTATCCGCTAATATACTCATTTGAACATTATATTTCACTTAATACTACTAATGTCACCATTTTTTTCCCCTGTAAAGCATAATTTGAAAACAATTGTTTTTCACTTAATGTTCTCTTTTGGTCGAATTTGTAGTTTTTTTTTTCCATAGTTGACTATCTTTAATTTTTAAAGTAAAGATGTAAACATGTCTAAAATAAAACAAGACTTTTTATTATTCTGGTCAAAGATGACCAAATTTTCTGGCCAAAAAAATTTTCCATTCAAGTTTATAAAGTTTTAGTTAATTTTTTCAAAGTTTGTCATATTAGAACTTTACCTATTATTTATGAACTTTGAAAATAAATTAGTTAAATTTTCATATCTATCAATAAGAATTTTGACAACTAAATCCAAGATAGTGTAAGGTAACAAATGACCAACATTTTATTAACTTCAAAGAATCTTTTCTTTGAAATTCAGTCTTATTAGTTACTTAATATTGTTTGTTTCTAATTATTTATCGACAAAATTATTAAGAAACAATGATAGACATAATGAATTTATAATTTTATCCATATTAATTATGAAGTAGATGAATTAAAAAGTTAAAAAAAATTAAAAAAACAATTAATTTATGGTATAATTTTTAAGAAAATTTATCATGTCTTGATTTATCAAAATGAACAAGTAATTAGTATAGCTAATTAAGAAAGAAAGAAAAAAGACAAGTTATTAGGAAATGAGAAAAATAAGTATATTCTTATATAAATTATGTTTGGTAAGAAATTACAAAAATATTTCGTCTGCAATTATTTATTGATAGAGTATGTAAATTTTTTAGGCCAATACTAATTTTAGGCTAACCACAAACCCAAAACGAACTCCAGAATCTCCTCCTCAATTTAGTATTTTCTTGCACAATAGGCATATCTTTTCTATGTTTTAGGCTTGTTTTAAAAATTCTATCTAAATTGAATGGGTAAATTTTTAGCCCAATACTAAATTTAAGCGAACCACAGTTCCATAATGAAATTTAGAACCAGCAAGCCTAGAGTACCCACAACATTTTCTCAACGTTTAGGCTTGAACCTATAGAAATTCTATTTGATATTCAATGGACCATCAAAATTTTTTAATCGAATACTAATTTTTGACCAACTACAAACTCCAAATGAACATCAGAATCAATTCATAAGAATTCCCCTCTTCATTTTAGCATTTTCTTGTGCAATCAACCTATTTTCTTGAGCTTGTAAAAAAATTCTGTCTAAAATCTAATGACCATGTAAAATCCAAGATATTGTATGATAACAAATGACTAACATTTTATTAACTTTAAAGAACCTTTTTAAGTATAAATAAATATGATAAATAGATGCTTGTTATGAAACTAAAGATTAAACAATAAAATATGAAAAGAAACAGAAAAGATAGTGTATGATAACAAATGGAGTTCGGAGCCTAAAGGTATAGAATTTTAACAAAAATTTCAAAATGGTATATAAATTTTAATTTTAATCAAAACGGTAAAATCGCTGGTAGAGCAGCGATTTGCTAATTTTAAATATTTTTTTTTAAAAAAACATGTTTTTCAAGAAATCGCTTCCAATATAATTTTTTTAATAAATCGCTTCCTAGGCAGGGATTTTAGAATTTTTTTAAAAAAATATTTAAACCAAATCGGTATCTATTTTTTATTTTTGTAAATTAAATTGCTGATTTGCGATATAAATAATTTTTTTAAAATTTTTTTTAGTAAATCGCTGCTACTGCAGCGACTTTACACTTTAAAAAAAATTATTTTAATATTTTTTAGTACAGCAGCAATCTTACATTTTGTAAATTTTTTTTTATAAATCGCTGCTACTGCAGCGATTTTACATTGTTAAAAAAAAATTTATAATATTTTTTGGTAAATCGCATGCAGCGATTTTACCTTTTGTAAAATTTATTTTTTAAAGTTTAATTAAATCGCTATCGGTGCAGCGATTTGTACCATTTTTTAAAAAATTAATTAATCACTGCTCTTGCAGCGATTTCCTAAAAAAAATTATAAAAGGTATAATCGCTGCAGTAGCAACGATTTACCAAAAGTATTTTTTTTAAAAATTGAACAAAGTAAAATCGCGCAGTAACAGCGATTTACTAAAAAATATCTTTTACAAAAATTTACAAAATGTAAAATCGCCGCAGTAGCAGTGATTTACTTAAAAATGTAAAGTCGGTGCAGAAGCAGCGATCTACTAAAAAAAATTAAAAAATATTATTTAAATTTCTCAAACCGTTTCCTAGGCAGCAATTTATTTAAAAAAAATTAAAAAAATTTATATTGGCTTGAATTTTTTTTTTAAAAAAATATTTAAAATTAGCAAATCGTTACTATTGCAGCGATTTTGCTTTTTTCGGCGAACAAAATCGCTGCTCTATCAATGTTTTTGTCGTTTTGATTAAAATGAAAATTTATATATATATACTGTTTTGAAATTTTTGTTAAAATTTTATGTCATTTAGGCTCCAAACTCATAACACATGATTAACATTTCTAATATTGGTTATTGAAGCCGAATCGAGCGGCAACGACAAAGCAAATGCGCATCGTGATATAAACTTTTCCTTTCTTTTAACCATATGAGAGAAATACTTTTACTTTTCATTTTCCTCCACTTGGCTCCCTATATTCAGACCTTGCTTATACTCAACAATATATTAACATATAATATAGTTGTATGTATTATAGAGTACAATTTGCTATATGTGACGATATTATAAGTAATTCACTCCAAATTTGAATTCTTTTATTTTTTATACAACGAGTGAGTTGTGACAAGAGAATTGTTGAAGCAAATAACACTTGATTGTCATGTTTGTTGCATATTTGATTTCTGAATGTTGGTTATTGATAGTAATTATAGTCTTAACATATGATGATGATAAATCAATGAAATAGAATACTTTTGGATATTGGAGAAAATATAAAGTTTATCTTGTCTGCTAATTTGACTACGGACTTTTGAGATGTCATTAACTTGTTTTGACTAATTTCCAATGACTAGAAAGTATTTTAGTATTACGGAGAAAATGTATGAACTTCATTAACTATATATATAGATGAGATAATATCAGCTTGGTGGATAGGCATAATCTAATCTAAAACATGGAGAAAGGAAAAGAAGGAAATTCAATTTTGATTTTGAACTTGCATGGATAACTATAGGGGCAAAAAAAAAAAAAACCAAATAAATTACAAACTCTCTTCTTCCATGTAAATATTGTTCTTTGCAAATTAACCTGAAAGATGAACAAATATATATAGATCGATTTTAAGGAATTTTCTTAGTGCATATTTAAATGTTGACGTTATCTCTCAATTGGAATATTGAATAATTAAAATTATTTGTTTTTCAACATACGACTAATTTTATGATTTTTTGTAGCCAAACAAT